AAAAGCCAAAATGGACACTGACACGATTCTGAAGGCAAGGAAAGAACATATTTCAAAGACCATTCTTGAGGATGTCATTAGGACAAAGTTATTTTCATTCACTTTCTTGCATTGAAACAAGCAGCCCTGGCTGTTTTCATCTCTGACTCCAGGTAGTGCTCCTGTTTATGTTTGGGAATATTTGATTCTGGTCAGATAACCCCACTTCCTCCTAGTGTGAGCATTCTTCCAGAACACATGCGTATGTGTGCAGTGCAGGCCAGAGTTCCATAGCAGATTCTAAACAACTGTCCCTTCCAGAACCTAAACTCCCCTGCTTCAATCCTAAATCCTAAGACCTGTGATAAGATGCGGGAGAAGAAAGGGTAAAAAGAACCAAAGGGGTTTACGGAACTTAAAGTTTTTGATTGTTTGTAGTACTGGGGATCAATCCCAGAGCCCTCTACATGCAAAGCAAGTGCCCTACCATTCAGCTATACTTCTGGCTCAGTGTAAATTTTTACCTTTTGAAATAACAGATGAAAGGAAAACCAGTTCAACTTCAGAAAATTGCTGTTCCTCTATCATTTCCTCTCAATGTCCTTATGCCCATCCACCCCAAGGAAATGGTTATATCTTTATCTAGTTTTCCTAAGTTACCATGTCTGCCAATATCCAGCCTGCAAAATTGGCCATGGCCGCATCTGCCTCTCATGCAGATTAAGTGCATAGACTGCCTCTCACTCAGAGAGCACAGCCTCATCTGGCTGCAGCAGACACATTCTGAGTTTCCCGCCCCCTCAGATTCCCAAGAGAGCCAATCAAAGACAGAGAATGTCAAAGTCAGCAACCTCTTTGGTCTTCAGGCCTCTGCTGGGCACATCAGTGCCCAAGGGGGATGTCTAATGTGGTCTCAGGGATAGGTAAAGAAGATACCAAGGGGGGGGCAGGATAAATAATAAAGGAAGTGAGAGAAAGATAAGATAAAGAACAAAGAACAAGAGGCTATTATTTAAATGGAGGAAGACCAATAGTGACTACTTCACAGAATTGCTCAGTGATCCCTTGGTTGTAACTATCTTAGGTTTTGTTCAGATCTACAAGAACTTTTGTAGAACTACAAAATCCTAATGCCAGCACAGATCTTGGTTGGAGAACCCTGGGAAGAGCCCCGAGTCTGTTCCTCATCTTGAATTTGGTCCCCTTAAAGATTATTTTGAGTTTTAATTGTAACACATTCTGTTCTGAGCCTGTGTGTCATTCAGAACAGCTCATGGGAATGTTCTTGGATCCAGTGTGAGAACCTGCTTATGTTGTGCTTATGGCAGAGAATCTAGGAGTGTGGGCTGGAGATCGTGGAAGGTGCATGTGTATGACTGTGTATAATGGGGCCCTCCTGAGTAGCTAATGAGTCAGAGCAAGGCATCTGGCAGGCCACAGAAACTTTGCAGTTTAAAGCCATGGAAGTGATGTGCCCAAGTTAGTATCTTTGTCTGTCTCCTCTGCCTCCAAGGTGGCATGAAACTTGGTTTCTGGGGCCTCACAAAGCACATAGTGAATCCCGTTCCTGGCACAGACTGGATGCATCATCTCTCCTTCCACATCCCTTAATGAAGTGTGCAGCTCTTGTCCTCATTAGGCCCCAGCATTGTCAATAAAAGAGTCAATAAAGCCGGTTGATGGGGCTGGGACCAAGAGGCTGAGATGCAGTGGCCACACATCCACGGAGCAGATGTCAGCTCTACTATGTGTTGTGACCCAGCATCCAGAGATCAATAACTAGCTTAGGATAAAGCCTTAGAACCTGTCCCTCCACATCTCCTCTCCAGACCCACTGTACCCATGGTGGAGCCATGCCAGCCAGCTCCTGCTTTGCTTGCAGTTGTTTCTACCCCACACCATTCCGGGTACCAGATGCTTTTGTGTCTTCCTGATTGAACCCTCTGGACACTCCATGGATGCATATTTAGTGAGTGCCCACCTGGCAGGAGTGGGCATCTCCAGGCAGCTCAGAGGCTTGGGCCCTATTTTCTGCATCTTCAGTCTGCTGACAGTGTGTGAGGGGTCCCGGTGGACAGTGCAGTATATTTTCTGCATGTGGTGCTGCTGGACTCCATTCCTGGCTGCTCTGCCTCTTTTTAAGATACCCTTATCTTATCTAATTACAAGGCATTTCAGATTAATTTCATGGCCTGTGCTCCCAAGGACCTCTTATCTGTGAGGGCCTTATATTTTAACCTTGTCCTTCTTTTGTTGTTGGCCTTTAAGGGGTGGCAGCTAAGAAAGGGATGTTAAGATCTTACTAGGATTGGGGTGGGGGGGAGGGGAAGAAGAGTGAGACAGACAGACCTGGAATTTGTGTATTCTGCTCCATCCCCCGTCTATGTGTGGAGACAGCTGGCTGCTTTCTTCCATGACAGCCACATGGTATCCAGCCACACAGAACAGGACCCGGGCAGGGACTCATCTGGTGCCAACCTCTCCAGATCGCTTTGATATTTCCGACAGAGCAGTAAAGGACTCTAGACTATCACGTTTTGCCTTGCCTCTCTCCACCTCCTCTAAGACTCCTCAGTGTGGTTTCCATGGCTACCCCCAATCAGATTTGGCTTCCTGCGAAATTGGATTTCAAAGAAGGACAAGGCTTCAAAGGAATTTGTCCATTTAACAGAATGTCATTAGGAGTGAGGCTGACTGCTGAACCAGGTCCTCAGATGATTAAGGAGGGGCCGCACTCAAGTGTGGAGGCAGGTTTCTGTCTGCAGTGGGGAACCTTGATGCAACATGACAATACCGTATTAGAATCTGCCAGTCACCACCACACACTACCCGACTTGCATCTCTCTCTACTTTCATCCGTCTAAAAGTCAGAGATTTGTGTGGGGAGGAATGGAAGTAGAAAACCTGCCCTGAGTATTTCTGCTGTCTCTGTAGGTAGGAGTAAGCTGAGATAGACAGTGAGGCCTGGAGGTTTGCCCTTTATTAAACAACTATGAGCTCCTAGGCTAAATGAGCATGGGACACAATGTTCTTGAGGCAGAGCAGGAAGTTGTCAAATTTTTTCCCATCACCAAAAGAGAAAGCAAGGCAAAGTTTGCGGGTAACATATAGGGAAGGCTTTGTTTCCTTTGTTGGTTTTATTTTTTTTCAAGTAAGTTTTAGGTTTACAATTTTTTTTTTGTGAGAATAGTTCAGAGAGTTCTCATATATCTTCATTTGCTTTTAAGCATATGTCATAAGTACTCCAAAATGATTCCAGATTAACTACAATTTTATAAGTGGAGCCATGAGGTTGGTAAAAAGGCCCTAGAGGGGTATCTGGCACTCTCTCCAGAGCCTGGAAAAGGCAGGCTGCTCATTGCCATACTTTCTAGGGCAAGTAGGAGGATGAGCACCAAGGAACCAGATTCCCCAGAAACTCAAGCCAGCCTCTGTCCCTTTACCTCAATGTACTGCAACTTGTAGGTGGGTCATGAGACTATGGAACCAAGATGCCAGGATGTGATCAAAGCTGCTGCACCCCTTAAAAGGTGAAGTTGCAACCTTGAGGCTGTATCTCTGGAAAAAAACTTCTCCAGGAGGCAGCTGGGCCTAGTGGTAAACACCTATAATCCCAACTAATGAGGAGGGAGAGGCCAGTCCAGAGAAAGTTAGCTATACCCTATCTTAAAAAGCAAAACATAAACAAAAGGACAAGGGAGGGGAGTGGCTCATGTGGTAAGAGCTCTAGCCTAGCATGCCTGCCGCCCTGGGTTCAGTTCCTAGTAACTGCTTAATTGAGTTCAAAATCCCCATTCTGACTTCCGTGTCTGTTCATAATAGAGCGTCAATTTATATTAACGATTTCAGTGTGTGTATACCATCCGGTAAAGGAAGGCAACTCTTCTTTAAGCTGGAGAACACCTTTTCAACCTTGTTTACTCTGATCCTTCCACATGGCAAGTCCCCCCTCCCACTTTAAAGCCTGGTGTGGTGTTCAGGCCGCACCACATGGGGGGTGTCAAGTCCACATGCGCCTTTAAGCACACCCACACCCACCGGTACTTCCATCTTTCCCTTGTATTCACTCCCTGCTTATACCACGCATGCCACTCTATGTCTTTTCACCGTAGTCGGTCTATTGGTGAAAAAAAATTATTTTGAGATAATTGTACATTCACGGAGGGTTGTAAGAAATAACACGGAGGATCCTGTGCAGCTTTTACCCAAGCTTCAGCCGTGGTAACCTCTCCAGTACCTATCTCAACCAGGACATGGGCACCAACAGCACTACGACTGAGAAGGAGATGGCGCGACCCTGCGATCTGATCTTGTGCTTCACGTTCGCCCTTTCTCTGTTCCCTTCTCCCTTAGCTTTCTGCTCCAGTCACAGCTTCCTTTACCCATAACCTTTCAGCCACAGGGAAGGAAGGACATTTTGGCTCACTGTGTCCCATTATTGTGCCGCTCCAATTCTTCCAAATGTTGGTGGCCTATGTTATTATTGGGACTTCCAGTCATTCCCTTTAAATGGCGTGCCTTCTTTTCTTGGCTTGGAGGCGCGAACTGGATGGCAACCGAGGGGCGCTATGCTTGGCCAGGGCGCACCTCTGTCTTGGATTCTGCTTCCCCGCGCCCCATTCCAGGCATCACCTTGACCTTCTGAACCCGTTTGAGGTCAAATGCTCAGTGCTTAGCACGGTGTCTCCAAGAGCCCTGGTTCCTCGAAGTTGTGGGAAGTCTTTTGGTTGGGGAGCGGGCAGAGGGGCACGCCTTGGCCTTGCACGGAGGGCCGCTCTATGTGCCCCGACCTTTCCACCTCCTGGGCCTTGTGTGGGTGCAGCCTGCACCCGCGTCCAGGTGCCCCGCGTCCCCTGGCCCCTCTTCGCCCTTGGCGCCGGCAGCCCCCTGGCCCGCCGCGTCCCTGCCCCTTGCGCCCCCCGGTGCGCGCCCCCGCGTGCCCCCCGGCCCGCTGCGCGCGCCGCTTCCTGAGCGCGCCCGGCCCGCGGCCCCGCCCTGCGGCAGCTGCAGAGGTACAGGTGCCTCGCGCAGCCCGCCTCCCGCCATCAGCCGCCATCCAGCGCCCCACGTCCCTCTCCCGCCACCCGCTGCGGCTTTCCTCCCGGCCGGCCAAATGCAGGCCGCTGTCCTCCCTGAGGAGATCCGTTGGCTCCTGGAAGGTAACGCCCTCGCCCAGCCCCAGGTCCCTCGCCCCGACTCCTCCGGAGGTCCCTCCAGGGCTGGGCTGAAGGCAGGAGGAGACACCAGGGCCTCCGAAGGCCAGAATGTCTTTCCAGCTCCTTCATTCACCTTCTTCCAGAACCTCGAGGCTTCTAGAGTCCAGAGCCCCCTCCCCCACCACACACACCACGTCTGCCTTCCATCCTCCCACTCCAGAGTCCCTGTCACTCCTTTGAGTTCCACACTTTCTTTTTCCTCTAGGTGTCTCCACCTCTCCAAGTCACCTCCCAGGTCACTAAGCTCCTCAAGGCTAAGTTCCTGGTCTCTCTTGCCACCTTGCCTGGTCTTCAACCTGTGCCTTTCTCCCTAGGGCTCTCCTGATGTCTGTAGAGTTTCTCCCTCTTCCTCCCTCCCCAGCCCTGACCTCCTCTCAGCCCACAGAAGACCTGCACATTCCTGCGCAGAGATCCCCGAGGCCCCCAAGGGGACTGTAGGGGGACTCACAGGTGTGGGCCAAGCCTGGTGGCTACTGACTTCTTGTCATTGAGGAAACCCCTGGCTTCCCTTTACCAGCCTGCAGACTTCTAGGGCTGTCATTATGCGACCCAAGGAAAAGTTGCATTCCTTTCCTTTCTAGAAGTATCTACCTTGTGATGGTTTCACCTCCAAATCTAGAGTCTAAGCAGTCCTTTAAAGGGTCAAGGCCGCACTCTCCAACACTCAATACATACTTCTAACTCTCCATACACTTCCCTGATGGGCAGTATCATCTGTCTGACTCACAGAGCCAAAGTCATTTTTCCTTGCTTTCCTACAACTGGCCTTCCAAGGGAGAATGGAGGCCTGGTATCTGCAGTTCCATAAGGGTCCCAAGAGGAACTGTTCAGAATTAAGCCTTTTGGCATCTTAGTGACACATTTGACACATATTTAACAGATGGCCTGCTTTGGGCAGGTCCAACTTTTGGCAAGCTGTATTTTTTTTTGGTTTCCCTCGATTTAATTGGTTTTATATCTCCATTACCTTGTTATCTTGGTATAAATGCCTCCTAATCAAATATTTGGCAAGTCCTTTTGGTTTCTGTTTGTAGCACTGTTTCCATTCTGGATTGCTTCTCTGTAAGAGCTGTCACTAGGTATTTCTTTTAAGATGAAGTTTCCAAAATCTATTTTGCCTGTGACCCCACCCTAGTAAACTTTAGGAGTAAAAATTTGTTTGGAGGAGAAAAGAACATTCTCTGGGTGTAAGGAGGAGCAAATCCAGCCTTTTCCCAATGCTGTTGGTTTAGTATTAGTCTTGTGAAGCCAGGTTGAACTTGTCTTTGGTTTCCAGGAGAGGAGGAACTGTGGCAAAAAGTTCAGTCCTCCTCTTGCATTCAAAGACATAAAGTAATTATTTTATTGGTGTCTGTCATTTGAAGAGAGGAAACCTATTTTACAAGCTTGTTACATGATACTTCAGTTTTGTGTGCAGCCTTGGTAGGAAACGCCTTTTTATTTTCAGAAGCTTGCAATGAAATCCACTCCTTCCCTATTTTTGATGTGCATTTCTTTATTGTTCAAAACTGACACCTTGGTAAACAACTCATTTCTGCACCTGCCACCTTCCTTTAGCTTAGATTATTTTCTTGTTAGCTGACTGTTTTTAATTGAAGTCTTCAGATCTCCTTCTAAAGCAGAACCTTTGTTTGCTGACAAGTAAAGCAGGGTATGAATGGAGATTAATTGCATGTCACATACTTCTGTATCAAGCTTGCTGTGTCTCTACAGTCTGTGCTGGTGATCAGGTCTTTAGAATATACAGAGGAGTCTGAGGTTAAATTTTAAGGAGCTTCGTTGGTTAATGTATTTCTTTGAGGCTTTTTTTTTTTCAAAGTTTGCAATTATAATCTTGAATCTGAAATAGAGAAAAATGTTAAATGTGATTCAATCAATGATTCTATTGAAAAATGGTTGAAGAGTCTGTTTTGGAAAGGTTTGTGTAATAATAGCAACGTATTGGTTATAGTTTTTATTTTTTATGGAGAACAGTCTCTAATGTAGACCAGTAGAATTATTCATTGTGTTGCAAATAATTTGTAGATATTAGAAACCCAAAATGGCCATCAATTTGTCGTCTGTTGCTGTTTACTTGTCTCCCCTGCCACATACTTTTTAAGGTTAACTGTTGACAATTAGGAAATATGTGGGTCCTGATCTGTATATAGTCACTCAGTGGGAGGGAGTCACAGGATGTGAGAGCTGCCACATGGCCATGGGGGTGGAGTTTCCACAATGAATTACTACTTTCATAAACCAAGGCATAAGCATTTGCACAGTGATTTAACGCTGGCCATCACAGCCATAACTTAAGCATTTACTTATTTATAACTACACGAGCATAAGTGACGGGTGGGTTTTTTTTTGACATAATGTGTGTGGTTTTAAAAATAAAATATGCAAAGCATTATGAAAGGTTTATACCAAAATTTGGCATAATGAAGAAATTCTGAAGTTCTACAATTAATTTCGTTTAAATATAACATTTAAACATTTAAAAATACCTCATTTAACACAGAAATCCCATGTGTAGGAATCTGTTACAGAAATGAAAGGACACAAAGTATATGCATAAGAGTTTATCTCACATGTTCATGAGCTGGAAAAGGCGGGGTGATAGTTGAATGAATTATGGGACACCCATCTTATGGAATAATTTGTGCCCATTAAAAAGACAGAATGGATCTATCTATCTATCATCTATCTTGAGTTGGAAAGTGTCCATGGCAGGTTTTTAAGATTGAAAAGACAAAATGCACAATAGTATATATAATACCCCATTTTTTGTTTGAAAACAAAGGCAAAACCCCCAAAAGTTACATACATTATATATGTTTGTATAAAACAATGTAGACCTAGCTGTTAACATTGGTTTCCTTGGGAGGAAAATAAGTTTGTTTGTTTGTTTGTTTTGGGGGGGATGTCATTAATTATTTCATACACCTTTATGTTGTTGAATTGTGACAATGACTATGTATTACTTTCATAATCAGGAAAGAACAACTAGTAAGGTTATTTAAATGAAAAAGGAACAAACAAAAGACAAACAGGAGCTCAGAGGTGAGAGTGCTAAAGGGATATTAACTGTGGTTATGGTTATGTTTTTCTCTGTTTAGCCTTGAGGGGTGCGGGAGCTGAGAATTAAAAAACAATTGGCAAATAAAACAATGAGAGGTTTCTAGAGTAATTCAGGCAACAGCTTCTTCAGATTGACTGTCAAACTTATATAGAAATAGAAGCAAGTTACATATCAGCCAATAAGTACCTTATAGATAAGTAAAACAAAGGGCGTCTTCTGCTTTGTTGAAAGAGGAGGAAATATTTAGATCTGTTTTCAAATAATCAGGCTTCAGAAGTAGAAGTTATCTTTTTGTTTTTGTTTTCTGATAACCATGCTGAAAACAAAAACAATGGCAGTTTGCTAATCTTTGTTCCACAGACAGAAGCATAATCACTCTCTTCTTCCTGGTCTTTCTAGTCTTGTTTTTTTTTTTCCTAAGAGAAGCAAAGGAGGCAAGTATGAAGGATTGGAATAGCTGTTTCTTTAGTTTACAGTGTGTCCTGTATGATGGAATGTGACCTGCTGACTTTACTCTGATAGCTGATAGATCCCAACTGCCTACCTAGTACCGAAATCCTGCTTGGAATATGGATTTAAGCCAAAATGTCCTCTACAAGCTAGCTGCATGTGGTCACCAGTGCTGTGCTAACATGGATTCTGATATGCCTATGGTTACTTATTTTTAAACTTCCTTGCAAAGAAGCAGTCATTAATCATTTCCTTCCAGATTGTTCTCCAGATTTGTATTGGTGGATGCAACCGACCATAAAATCCTTTTCGGTATAGTAAAACTCCAGCTATGGGGGACTTGCTAGGAGTGAGTTGCTCTGATCTTCTGTAGGTAGCTAAGATCTTCCGTAGGTACTCTAACTTTTTATTAATAACATTTGTGATCATCTCTTTTTAAAAATGCATTAAGAACGTCTTACTTCTTAAGTCATTGTCTGTTAACAGACTTCTTTGTTATTTAACAGTGCTTCTTTGAGCACTTTTTAACTCAGAGTTGTTACAGTAAATATCAATTGTCAGGCTTTACAGAGTTATATGGAGTTGTTTAGTGATATTTCTGCAATAGTTGCCCCTGGATTGCTTTGTGACTGTCTGTCTGCTTTATTTATTTATTTGTGTATTTATTTGGTGCTGGGATTGAATATAGGGTCTCATGCATGCTAAACATGTGACATACCACTGAGTTATATCCCAGTCTGCTTTTAAACTCAGGGCTTTACACTTGCTAGGCAGGTGCTCTATCAATTGAGCCATACCTCTAACCCTTTTTGCTCTGATTATTTTTCAGGTAGGATCTGTCATTTATGCCCAGTCCTGCCTGAACCAAAATCCTCCTCTGTATGTTTCCTGCATATCTGAGATAACAGGCATACACCACTGCACCCAGCTATGGGTTGAGATGGGGTCTTGTGTTCTGTTTGCCTGGGCTGGCCTTGACCTGTGATCAGCCTGATCTCAGCCTCTCAAGTAGCTAGGATTACAGGTGTGAGTTGTCACCCTGGCAGTTTTGTAACATGTTGTTAGAGCAGCCTGAAGGGACTTAAATAATCATTAAAAATTTTCCTCTTTAGGTGATTTAGAAATTATGCATCCTATTTTTATTCCTCTCATATTTTTACCCTGATGGGTTAAAAAATAATCAGAACCATGTCCCTCTATTTAACAATATTAGTAATGAACTAGCACCTTTTGGCTCTTCCCTTCAGAGTGAAATGTGAACATGCCATTAAGAGATTTTAGACTCAGGGAATTATTAATGTTCTATGTATATAATATTATAAGAATTTTTTATGTTTGCACAATATTTTAAAACCATAGTTATAGTAATGTTTTTTTCATCCTTGATGTTTATTTTATCTCAGATATTTAGACTATACTGTCCAACATAGTA